TTCCAGACTATTGTTACTTAACACATCCCCCCCAAGATGTCTGAAAGGAATTCCCCAGATTCCTGCGAGACAATGACCAACACAAAGCAAGGGGGGTTCTCTCCGTCTCATACCTTGCTGCATGTGGCGAGTGATGAAACGACTCGTCCAGGAACTACACACCTGCAGCTCTTATAGTGTGTTAACAGAGAAGGACCGTCAACAGTACATGTGAAGCCTTCAAAACCCCTTCAGTTCACAGATGAAGGGTGACGGTGTTTGACAGGAACATTCATTCCATGTGAACCCCTTATCTTTCCAGAACCGAGCGCAGTTCTCCACCTATGACCTGAGGTAGAACGCTGGTTGACCGGCGGACTAGTCCTCGAAGCTACAGCGCCGCCGTCAGTCCAGCTCGCGGCCCTGGATGCTTGCTTCATCTTCCCTTGTAGCCCATCCGCACGCCGTACGGAGCTGGTACCCCAGGGATAGGGGCGGCCCTGAGGTAGTCCACGAGTGCAGCATTTTCCCGCTCGCCGTTGACAGACACCAGGTGGCCTGGTCGGCGAGGTGTAGAGAATGCTTGACTATACCAGGCAAGACATGGGACGGAGGGGTACCCCCTCTCCTGTCCAATCCCTATACACACTCTGGACTATTGTTACCTAACACATCCCCCTTAGAAGTCTGTAAAGAATTCCTGAGATTCCGATCAAATAATGATCAACACAAAGGCGGGGGAGGGGTTCTCTCCGTCCCATATTTTGCTTCAAATGTGCTTGACAATGCGACTCGGCTTGTGCGGCGGTTTGGGGCTCGCTGAAAAGCCGGTAGCAGCTGCCGAAGCAAGATACCCACATTGTTGGGCACTTAGGCTCGCTGCCACATGCATTCATATAATTATACCGTGTGCAGGCGTGCCATACATAATGTGGACCTCTGCACAAAAGAAGTCCACACAATATAGGGTGCGATGGCAAAATGGAGAGGAACAGTCCAGGGAATCACCATCAAAAATCCAGCTCGAAGAAGTTATCCTAGTAAGAGAAAAAGGAACATTTTCCTCAAGTTTCCTTAACCACAGGAGAACAAAGGAAAGTCCACACTTTGTATGTAAAACAGGTATGTGTGCGTATTGGGGACAGTGCCAGCAGCAGACACAATAAAACGACAAAGGTCTCCATGGTGACATCTATTGCACTGAGCACATAACTTCCTCTAAACTGCCTCATTTTCCTCTCAAGTTAAAACAGTCTGAATTGGAAGGCACACACGTGACTCAATGTCAGAGATCTGTTCGTCATAGACCAAAGGAGTCTTCAATAATTTCATTTCATAAGCTCTCCTTTTGTGTGTGGCACTGAAACAATCTCCTTGACAACAACCAAACTCTGGGCGCTGACACAATTTTTGCCATAATCAGCGGATACCATAGGGCCTGCCCCATCGCCGCGGTGAAGATAAGTATATAGATTTCTTCCTTCATAAATGACCAAATACGGGTTCTGTGGGAGCTCCGATAATTATTCCAACCAACTCCAGATGGTATAGTCAAATGAAGCTCATTTTGCTGTGCATTTTAAGTCCTAAATTGAGAACAGGTGAGGCAACGGGACTCACTTTAATCCTTCAGCAAGAGATTTCCATCCACGAGTCGATTTTCTACGTGTACACTGCTTCAATTTATATTGTGATTGTAGATTCCTTAGTTTCCATTAAAATACATGTATATTTATTTATTACATCAAGACACTTGTGTATGTGGTTATGCATCGTGAGATATTTATCAATCTACTGTAAATGAAATTGAAAATTATCCGGTTGAATCAACTTCTTGTTTTTGACAGCAACAGCGGGGATTATAATCAACGAGTGAGTAACTGCGAAATGGTTGGCCAGGTTGATATTTTCCCTAATGTTGGTAAAAATATCAACGTAGCAAAGTTTGGGGAAATTCTTCCTAACATTTGGTCAATGTTTGGCTAACAGTGATGGATATTGACCAACAATGTGATAACTTTAACCAAGGTTTGGCAAATAACAAATGCCCAACACTATTTGGCCAATTTTTAAACAGTACAGCAATGTCACGTGATGTGAGTTCCATCAATCAAATGACAAGGACCTGTGTGTCATTTACATAATTGCTGCTATCCAGCGGCCAGCCTCCAAGTTTGTAGAAATCACAGACAAAAACAATGGTTCTTCTTTCCACAACTCGGAGGCGAAGATGGGCGTAAATGAAAGTTTTGAAGACACAGTTTAGTCCACAACTCGTAACACGATAATTACTGATAAATGTAGCATAATACACCGACTTTATTGTGCAAACCAAATAGAAAACTTTTAACTACAGTACCGATTTTCGTCAAGGTCGAAGCTGAATTCTGACTTACAGTTTGTGGTGAAAATGGTCGGATTTTTGTGATGTGCTTTTGAGAATGTAGTGCCGAGGAGAAAAATGTCACAAACCCAACTTGATGACTAACCCAAGATGACGCGCAATAAAATGTGATACTGCTACACAGCAGGCACCAAGACAACATGGACTTTGTGTTGATCGCTGGACGAAAACTGGGACCAGGCAACGACAGGATGTTGCAGTCGATAATTCTTAAACGTCATGCAGCCAAGTACGAGGAGCTCAATAAAATAATTATGTCCAACCGTAAAATACTCTAACTTGTCGCGCACACAGAATCTGCATTTCACTTAAACGTTCGGATTTTCTACTTCGGCCGAAAAGGAATGTCGTGAATGTATGTGACGACAGAAAACAGGGAATTCATAGGTGACTCCCGGTTTCAGAGAGCAGGCTTGCTATCAACACTGATGATGGCTTTAGGTCTGTCGAGCGAAAAAAAAAGGAAAGCACTTTCGTTGGTTGTTGAATTCACAAACGAGATCATAATTCAGTTATGAGCATTAACAAAATACATGGAATGCAAGGCATAGAAATTACACAACAATGCTCTGCGTCACTTTGGCGTTAGTTACTGTTAAAATGGACGTGTTACGGGGCGGTGAACAGGCGGGGCCCGATGTAACACTGCCCTACTTTGGACATCAGTAAATCTATGGCTTAAAGCCTGATGATAAAGTACCAGGCAGGGAACCAGACAAAGAAGATTGTCGTTCATATGAAGTGTGTATTAAAAATGAACTGAGACTGTGTCCGAAAGCCTTGCAGGCTACGGCCAATAGCATCACAGGCTGCAAATGCATGCCGTACCGATGGTCTCCGTAGTCGCATTTGTTGTGGCCAGCCAAAGCCAAATGGAATTTATGGCTATCTTGGTAGGGTTTTGCCAGGAGCACGCTACGGCAATCATCCCTCGCCGTAGACAAGAACACACAAACAGATGCGGTCTTTACCTGTTGATCAGGGCGTGGCCATTCCTGTCGACCACTGAGATGAAGTCTGCAGTCTTGGCTGGCCGTTCTCCCAACTGAAAGTGTAGCTGAGCTTTCTTCTGTTGAACGTTTCTGTACACCGGGACACAAGATGAAACCGAACGGTTATCCTTGCCTCAACATGGCAAACGGCCACTTCAACGTGTCCACGTTTTCCTTTGTGTTCAGTGTACAAAAATCCCCGGGTTACGCAACTGTCAACAACTAATAAGCCTTTTGCGAGTTAAATTTGACTAAAATCTGGTACACTGAGTTCTTTAAATTCACGTGAACATAACAAATGAAATTCTCCATACTAAAGCCACTGTTGCTATACCTCGTGATTCGGGCAAGCTTTTCCTTAGTTACATAAGAGACGCCTTGCAACAATACACTGTTCTCAATGGATAAAAACGGCACAAGGGAACCAGTCCATTCCAGAGATGGTGATCGTTAAGCAAAAGCTTGCCCCGAATCACGAGGTTA